CAGCCTCCCCCCTATAGTGGCAGATCTACCAGCTCCATTTCATCAATAAAAGAAGCAAAATCCCGCATAGATCTCCCCACCTGACTTCCCCCAGTCCTTTCCACCGTGCTCCTTACAACATTAAAATCTCCACCAACACATCACGGCAATCCCCACCTGAAAGCAACATGTTGCAACTCCTCCTAGAAGGCGGCCCATTTTGAACCCCGAACTGGACCATAAACCCTAGTAAACACCCACCGTAAATCATTCTCAAGGCATCTGAACAAACAGGATAGTGAAAAACGCCCTACTTCTTCCTCCACTTTCACCACCACTCTACTATCCCAACACATGAGAATACCTCCAACCGCCCCAATACATGAGAATACCTCTAGCCACCCCAATAGCTGGTTGGAACGTCCACTCCACATGCCTCCCACTCCATAACCCCTGCACAAACACTGGCTCAACAACCTCCGTTTTAGTCTCCTGAAGACACACAACATCCGCCCTAGCACTTCTTAAAAAGGACTTAACGACTGTTCATTTATCCCGATCATTTAGACCCCTCACATTCTAAGTCAAAATTTTCAGACGCATGGCAACAAAGGGTGACCACCCCGCTCCCTTCTAACCCGTCGTTCTTCGCCTCTCGTAGGTCGATCATAATTTGTTGAGCACTCAGGTCTCCGTAACTCCCGAACCCCTTTTTCTGTTGGACTAGCAAATTGTCTCTCTATGCCCCCCTCCTTCTATGATGTTTCAATTGAGGCGAATAACTTCAAAGCCTCCGCCTCATGCCAAGCAAAAGAAACTCCCAGAAATTTACTAACCTCGGCAATATGGGTCAACACCCAATTAGACACCTCATCTGAAGACAATGGGAGATCAGCTGGAAATGCATCTTGTATGTCAATGTCAAACTCTGGATCTGAGTTTGGCAAATCGAGAACCGCATCATCTGTTGCCAACGGTCGGACCACTATGGCCATGTCGTCGCCAGAGAACCCCCATCTTTTCTCATTTTCCTCCATAAGTCCCTCGCCTCCCACTGACTATTCCGCTACTGCCGCAGGTGGGACATCCCCGAACTATCCATCAGGTGAGCAATGTGCGGCGTTAACCTCTACCGCTGGCTGACCAAGGCGGAGAATCCTTTTCGGCAAGTTGGGCTTCTCCGGCGAGGTCTGCGACACCATTCCGCCTGATGGCCAACTCCCAGCATGGCTAGTTGGCGGTGGCAAGCCAACACCCTCACCCAGAGATTGGAAAACCTGTTCCGGAGATGGGTTTGAGCACACCCTAGTCTCCACCCGTGGGCTAGGTACCCCTTTTTCTATGACACCTGGGCCAAAAGTGCTAGGGCCCAGCTTACCCCTCACTTGGCCCAATCCCTCCACCATAGACGCGGGCTGGCCTAAACCCCTACTATGATCCACCCACTGTTTATTTAGGGCCACACGTGACTACCCCATAGCCCAAACCCTTTGCCTAGAATGCTTCAACCTCCCCTGAAACCGAAACCCTACATTCTCTTCCCTAAATTTGCGAACAGACCCACCATATCCTCTGTTACCCAAAAGACAACCTAAGAGGGGGGTGAATTAGGTTTTTATAATTAAAATTAATAATACCCTAATAAAAATTATGATTAGTACAATAGATAAATATAATTAATGAAATAAAAATAATTAAAACAAGTGTCTTAACAACTATGTTAGTTAATGATTTTAGCATCGTAAAAATGTGAAATATAACTATGGCAATTTAAAATAAAATAAAGAGATAAGGGAGAGAGAGACAAACAAATTTATAGTGGTTTAGCTTCAACTCGGCGTACGTCCACTCCTCAAACTTTACTTGAGATTTTCCACTATACTCTAACTTCACAGGGTGCTAGCAACCTTTTCACAGATGGAGCAATCCTCCACTAAATTTACACTGACTTTCTAAGTCAAGAACACTGAGTGTAATACACTCTTACAAGGTTAAAAAGAAGGTGTTTTTGCTTTCACAGAAAGTTATAAGAATTATCTCTCAAAGATAGATATAAAAATGAAACTCTGGTTTTTCTGTAAACCTCACACAGGAAAGATGGGCTTAAAGGTATAAGGCTCAGTGTATAATTTCTAAGAATAGATGTGAGTGATTATAGATCAAAGAATATTTTCAGGTTTTTGTAACTTGTTTACATTAGAGGTTTTGGTATATATAATGAAAATTATAGCCGTTTATCGCCGTTGTAGTCATTTGAATTTATAGCCGTTGTACTCCATCATTACTAATTTGAATATCTTCCAGTCCATTATTACAAATTTGAATATCTTCCACTTGAACCTTTTGAATTGCTGCTGTGCTGGGCTGTCTGAACCTCTGTTTTTGGGCTGTTTGAACTCTTGATTTAATCAAATATTAAATACATTCTAACAACATTTAGGATAAAGGTTTAGGTGAGAAATAATGGGACAAAATAAATTTTGATTTTATTAAAACATAAAATCATCAAAATAAATGTTGATTTTATTTTTCTCTTTCAAATAAATTATCAAAATAAATTTTGATTTTATTTTTCTCTTCCAAATAAATTAAAACATAATTAAATAAATTATCAAAATAAATAAGTCTAACATCCTCTATTCCCAAAATTCCGCCTATCATCACGTCGTCGCTACTGACTTTCCTTCACCAGCCACAAACCCCCACGATCTTCCCCCGCCAGCGAGATCGGGGCAACTGTAGGACCAACTTCCAGCCACAGAGGAATCACATACAACCAATCCTCCCATCGTAGCGAAATCTTAGTTGGAATGATGCCATGACACTGGACTTGCAGTCGTACCATGCCGAGATCTGCCGAAAGCTCATCGGTTTGCATAAAACCACCACAACGGTCACCAATGGCCCTATACGTAGCTAGCCCTCGGAGATGAATGGGTAGGCCCAACACCCGCACCCACATAGTCGCCTCTGACAACGTTGGGTTGCCCTTATCACACAAAACTGACAGTGACCACCATCGCAGACGAAGGTCGCGGCCATCGACAACTCACCTGCGTCGCAACACATTTTCAGCGTCTCGATGAGAGGGGAACACAAAGAGAAAGTCTTGGCCCCCTACTAGCCGAATCTCCACCTTACGTGATGAGCCCCACCATCGACCAACCCAGTCTGTCATCACAGAAAACCCCACACCCTTATCGCCCTCCATACCCACTAAGCCCACCAAAGCCCTATTCAGTATATCAAACCACCCCTCTTCAGCCATTGCCTGAACTGGTTTGTCTGTAACAACCAGAGGTGTCGTTGCTGCTCTCTTCACCACTGATACCCTCGGCCCAGCGCGAGCCTTCGCATTCCAGCTTTCGCCTCTAGCAAAGCCCTCAATAACCAACACCACACTCTCCCAACCATCCCCAAACTCTGAGGCGGGGATAAAAACCTGATGCCGACGACCTACAATGGTGACCACAATCTAAAACGACTACCTACCAGCCTCCTCATCACGAACCCAGATAGCCACACTCCGACTCTTGCCATCCAAACGACCCAAAAAGGATTGGGGTTGTTCGTTACTCTTGGTGAGAGCCCAACTCACCTCGAAGTCGACCAAAATCACTTCCCGCCAAAGGCCTAATCCACGCTCTACAATACCCAACCGCCGATGCCTCCTCTGATCCACTGCTTCCTCCTGGAACTCGAAGGATCGACCACCGAGGAAGAGGATTCGGCGTCGTGGGCCAACCTCCTCTCTCACCGGAAACATCCCAGGTAAGTCTAAAGCATTTTACCGGAAATTGGCTCTATTTTTGGAAATATTAGAGAGTTAAATTTTCAAGGTTTTTGACTGTATGCATGGAGATTTGTGTCATCTTGCATACTCTCAGTCCCTCTTTTATCTGTTGAAACTCTCGATTTGGATCTCTGTTAGGCAGGCATTGTCTGTAGATGTTTGGATTTTAAACTTGATGGTCATTATGTGATGCTTCTAGATGTTCTAAAGCTTTTGATTTAGACATTGGGATATTGTTAATACTGGTTACTTTCATGAAGTTAGGGTTTAAAATGCTAATGTGTAAGCAAATCTCAAAGGTGTCTACCCTAGTATAGGGAGTTTATAAAAAAATATATATGCATATATATATGGAGTTCATCAACTACCTGTAATTGTTATCAGTATCATTGTTGGCAACTTGATTGGAATTATAACATTAGCACTTCCTAGAGGAACAGGTTTGAGCTTTGATGCTGAATCATGCCACTTGCCTAAAGATGTACTGTTGAGGATATCACTGTTTAGATCTTTACTGAGTTGGTAGCAGAAGTCCTTATTTATAGTCTGTTTCCAGCTGTTGAGTTAATGGAATAGATGGAAATTAAAAAAGTTAAATATTTTTATTTTATTTTATTTTTTTTGTTGAGGTGGCATTTTTTTTCCCTTTGTAAAGAAAAAATTGCAAAATGTGCCTATAAATCATCTCTTAGCTATTTTGTTAAGTTTAGTAAACACATTTTAATTTCTGCTGGACTAAGAGGATGACAAAATCTAATAGAACCATTTAGATCAACGATTACATGCAAAAAAAAATTTTGATAAATACTGTGTTTAATGCCTGATTATCTGACATATTATTCTTTGCTATTATTTGCATTTGTTTTCTTCCTTATGTGTGTGTATTACAGAAAAGGAAAAAGAAAAGAGAGGAGGAACATGCATATCTGGTGCATATCAGTCGGGCTTACAACTTATAAATCACATTTGCTTGATGGTATTGATATCCATAATTAGATTAGTGTACTCTTTAGGTCCAACATTCTAGCGAATCTTACAAGTTGTGTCTTCTCTCTTTCTCATTTGCCTCAATATATGTTGATTTATGATCTTTTTTCTTTTTCTCTTTTGACTTAACATATGGTTCTCTCTTTCTCATCATTAAAGATGTTTTCTTCTGTGTACTTGTTCTAGTGTTGCATTCTATGATAATAACTTCATTGTTTCAAATATTTTTCTCTTTTTATAGGTAGGAGTGGATAACATGTGTATATTGGTACATGCTGTGAAACGACAACCACAGGAATTGCCTTTAGAAGGGCGAATAAGCAATGCCCTTGTTGAAGTTGGTCCTTCAATAACACTAGCTAGTTTATCTGAGGTTCTTGCATTTGCAGTTGGAAGTTTCATTTCTATGCCGGCATGCCGTGTTTTTTCAATGTTTGCTGGTGTGAAATTTTTATTTTTTATTTTGATGTCCTGGTTGATTAACTAAAAAATAACTGTTTGATAACCCCTTTGTTTTATGTACCTATAGCTTTGGCTGTTCTATTGGACTTCCTTCTGCAAGTTACTGCTTTTGTTGCCTTGATAGTTTTTGATATCTTGAGAGCTGAGGATAACAGGGTTGACTGTTTTCCATGCTTAAAAGTCCCTTCATCTTCTGTAGAATCTGTTGAAGGTACTTCTATAAGCTTTCACTTGCTTTTCTATTTATTTGCTAAAGATCTTCATATAGGGTTAGATGTGCCTTGTGTTTCACAATGTTACATTTGCACTGTATCTTTTCCATTTTGTAAATTGGTGTCTAAATTCTGATTGAAACATATGAATTAGTTGTAGGCAATCGGAGGAGTCCTGGATTGCTGGCTCGATATATGGAGGTAATTTTGGTGGGCTCTTTTTATTTGCTTTATTTTACAAGGTTAAGTTCAAGAGGATTGGCAAAGTTCAATGGAGACTGGGGACAACTTTATAATGCTACCCTAACAGAGCAAGTGCAACTTTAGCCACCATATAATCTATCGTGGAATATATTTCTGGCACTTTGATGTTCTTAGAAACAAAAAAATTGTCCTGCCATCTCTGCTGTTGCATCAATGAATCAGTGATGATGCTGACAACCAGTTGCATGCTGGCACTCCTTTTGAATTGCATAAAGATAATATACATGGAAAATGATTGTGAATATGTGTCGAACTATTGATGTTTTACAAATCAACATGTGTCAAAATACAGAAATGTCCAACATGATGATTGACAGATGGTACTTGGAATTCTTTGTATCTCTTTCTTTTCTTATTCAATAATAATAATAATAAAATGGTACTTCAAATGTCTGTTGGGAGGCCTAGTGAACAACTGCATTGCTTCCGAATTTTCTTATATTGATAACTTTGATGTTTCGAATGGTGGAAAATGGCAGTTGATGTGTCAAATTTTCGAAGTATGGTGTGGGAGTGGAGGACTAGCATATACTAGTGTTTGTGCCTGGCAGAATGCTGTGAGCTATCATTTTAAAGACTATTCAGTATTTTGGTGAAAGTATCTAAAATTCCAAGTGCATTACTGGCATTAAAATAATTAGCTAGTTTTACTAGCATTTTATCACCTAATCTCATCTATTGGGTGTGTGGATGGTGGTTTTGGGATACTAGTTTTGAGATTGACCTGGTTTCGAGCTGTCTGGGCCTTGGGATTTTTTATTGTGAAATGAAAAGTGAAAGGAAAGGAAATTGAAAGAGAACCCACAATTTATGGGAGGTTATGTAAAACTAGCATGTTGATACGTACGAGTTTTAAGTACGAGTTTTATTGGGCTAAAATGGCTGAGAAATTTGGTTGCAGTGACACTGAAGTTGGGATGAGGCACTGTGCATTTATTGAATGTAGGATGGTTTTATCTTATGTTCTGAATTTTAATCAGGATAATATCCTTTTGAACGGATGTGTTTGGATAACTATATGTGTATAGTGTTGCCTTTGTTATTGTTATAGTTTTTGCAAATAATTTATCTTGTAGGAAGTTCATGCACGCGTCCTTAGCCTCTGGGGAGTCAAAGTTGTTGTTATTGCTGTCTTTACTGCATTTGCTTTGGCAAGCATTGTAAGTCACTGTTTCTTTTATCCTATTTGTTGTGTTTTGTGTTCTGGTTGTCCAACCCTCCGTGTTATATATGCATGTTGTCTATCATTTCATTATTAATTTTTTGCTTGCTTTTCTCATTTTTAGGCATTATGTACGAGGATTGAACCTGGTTTAGAGCAACAGATTGCTCTTCCTCGAGACTCCTATCTTCAGGTTTAGTAGATTTGATTCCTCTGTTTCATGAGTTTGCTTTGTATTAAGGATTTTCCCTTTTGCCTGGCCTTCTTGGCAGTAATGGTATATTTGCTACAGGGGTATTTCAATGATGTGTCAGAGTATCTCAGAATAGGACCACCATTATATTTTGTTGTTAAGGACTATAATTACAGGTAAAGTTTCATCATCATTTTATTTCCCAATTTGTTTCCATTGATGTTTTTCTAGTTCAATTACAAGGTGAACTGTAGCATATTCCCCAAAAATAGAAGAAAATAAATTATTTCCATTTGTGCAATCTTCTATGAAGGAAAGGTTGGGATATGAACCTCTTACAGAATTTGGAACTCCATATTTTCAGTTGCATTTAATGGTGCGAATGCATCTTCCAGAATGGACTCAAAAAAACAAATGGGTGAATCAGATATTAAAAAGTTAGTATACAATGTCAGATGACTAACAGCTCTAATTTTATTTGATATTGAAATATGACTATTATTATGGACAAGGTTGGGTGCATGGTTGCACCCTTCATTTTATTTGAATTCTATCAATGCTAGTGTTGGGGGTTGTGGTGATAAATTGATTGGGCTCAAAAGACTGGGGTCAATGGAAAGGGAAATGAAGGAATGATGACAATTCTTGATTTGATTGAAATGGTAATTAATGTTTTCCTTACTTGAGTTTCATGTTTAGAAGAGTGGAAACTGGAATGTGATTGATGCTTTTTTTGGGTAATTAAAATGTGATTGATGTACTCTGTTTAAAAAGCTTTACTCTCTGCTCAATGTCTGAAGTAAAGCTAAAAATAGTTCCACTCTCAAACTTAAAAATATCTCCTTCCTTCCTAACCCGGCCCCTTTAGCTGAAGCTGTCTCTTTCTCTGGGAATAGATTCCTCTCCCTTTCTGCATACATACATAGGCCCATCCCTCAGATGCATATATACTGATTTCAATATTAGAGGGACTATAACTGGGGAATAGCCTTAGTTGTAACATAAATATTTTGTTCATAATATCTGCCTCTTTTGACTTGTCACGCCATCAATCCTTGTCAGCCTAGGGAACAATCACATTCATTTTAAATTTCATTCAGAATACCAGATTTCCAAGGGATTCCTTGCTCAGATTCATATCATAAATGGGTAACGTTTGCCTGTTTGTTAGATGATTCAGTCAGATATGATTTTAACTGGACTTTTGGAATACATGCATGTAACACACAGAGGCCTTCACCATTTTTTGAAAGAACAAGGGATAAAGAAAACAAACCAAAGCCTCTTCATGGGACAGAGACACTTCAGAAGGGACGGCAATTAATATGTCAAGGAGGGACTGGAATAGTTTCCACCCATCTTTTAGAGTCCAAAATTATTTTTTGTTACTTATTAACTGCCCTGCCTTATTAAACAAAGTTGTGTTAACTAATATATAGTCCCATGGTCTACTTATGAGAATATCTAATTCCCAAAAAGCAAAGAGGGCTGAAGATTTGCATCCACAGATGGAAATTTATGGTGAGAATTGCAACCATTTTTTGGTTCCTTTTATTTATAGTTTATTTTCTTTCTCCAGGTAGAACATGATATATGATAGTGTTTAGGCTCAGACCCCGCTTGATGTAATTATCGCAAGGATTTGTAGGATCCGTTTAAGTATATTTAATACCTTCCTTTATTGGAGCCATTCCACTTTCTATAATGTGGAGATCTCAGGTTCAATGCATGGATGCTAATTTTATACAGAGATTGGAAGTCGAACTCTATTTCTTCTTTGATCGATGCAGTCCAGTATTATTTGAAGTGGGATTCTTCTACTTCAGGCTAATGGAAACATCCATTTTGTTTCACTGGAATGTTATATGGTTTTGCATGAGACACAACCTTAACCATGTGGTGCATAATTGTTTTGTCAAAAAAAGGAAAAAAAGAAAAAGAAAAATAAACATGTCTGGCAAAATGTGATGTAGGCAACACATATTTTAGTAGTTGATAAGGGTTACCCTCTCTTAAGCATTGAGTGAGCCTTAATGCAAAGAAAGTATCAAGCTAATTTTCTGACTGTTACAATTGGTGATCGATATTAAATGTTGTCTCTTTCCTATGCGATCAATACAAGTTGAGGTATCACACAGTTGTCTGATCTACTTGTGAATGACTGTTTTCTATAGTTCGGAATCAAGACATACGAACCAGTTATGTTCTATCAGCCAGTGTGATGCAAATTCTCTTTTGAGTGAGGTAATATAATAGGTCATATTGACATTTTTGCTTCAATATCTCGAGTATTACTTAACATGCCTAGATGTGCATATGATTTTATCCAACATAGAACATGATTTATGTTGGAAGTGGAATAGCCTGGGTCTTGGAGAAGTTGCAAGACTGAAACAAATTTTGTTGTTCTTTGAACTGTATCTTCTGAATCTGAACCCCATTCTGGAACATGCTTATGTCTGTATCATTATATTTCTTCTATTATTTGCTTCCTTTTTTCCTATGATGTCTTACAAACTTTTTGCAAAACTCATGGTGTAGCAACATTAGATATAACTTGTTTTTTTCTTGTTAGTTCAACACGTAATTCAATGTAACAAACTTTCGACATTACTATTTGCACGACAAGATAAGCATATCACTTTTTCCTCCCAGAACCATAATTTCTTCATATACATGCACATTGTTAGTGGCCCTCACTCTTTAAAAGTTGTGGGTTTTTAGATTTTTCAATGGAGAAGAAAGAGTTTGGAGATAGGTGGAGGAAATGGATCAGGGACTTTCTTTCTTCTTCGAATCTTTCAGTAGTAGTTAATGGAAGTGGGGATTTGTTTAGAGCCACTAGGGGCTTAGACAAGGGGATACCTTATCCCTATTTATTTTTACATTAGTGGTTGATGTTTTGAACTGATTGGTTGATAGGGAAAAGTTGGGTTTGGTGGATGGCTTTTTGATATGTAGGGATAATGTTTCCATGTTCCACTTTTAGTTTTCAGATGATAACATTATCTTTTGGTGAGGAAGTTAAAATGGTTTATTTGCCTTCCTTATTAAGAGTGTTTGAGTTGGTTACGGGGCTTAAGGAGAATTTGGATAAAAGTACCATTGTGAGGATTAATTTCCGTAAAGAAAGTTTATAGCGATTGGTTTGCTGGTATGGTTGTCTCATCGAGTCTTTACCCCTGAAGTATTTAAGGCTTCCTTTGGGGGTAATCCTAGGTCTAATGTTTTTCTGGGCTCTAGTGATGAATAAGATTGGCAAGAGACTATATGGTTGGGTTGGGAATAAAGAAGCATAAACTTGCATTTGAATGCATTTTTAAAGTGGAACACCAAAATGAAGATCATTATGCAGTTTTAAAAATGTCTCCAAGTACCAGAATTAGTGTTAGCCACTATTGCGCTGGCACCAACATTCAGCATGTTTGAAATTCCATGAGGGTTTTTTTTCCTTTTTTATAATATCTCATCGATAGTGCAATGATACAATACTTCAAATTTTTCTTTCTTATTTTGGTGCATATAGTGTTAACTTATGATGTATAAGAGACTTCCTACTATTAACAAGTGGATGGCATGTTTATTGACGTGACAACATGCACCAGAAAATGGTTTCAATGCGTGCAAAATGCTCACTTTTTTTTCTGAAATGTTAGAAAATTATGAAGAAAGGAAAATCATTGGTTCTGTGTTTCCACTGCGAAGTCTGTAGTTTTTTTTACTTTTGTTCTTTTATTTTTATTTTTTTTGTGTGTGGTAAATATCATATAAGAGATTGATGACTGAGAACTTGTGTACACATTATATCTCCTTCTCTAAAGGGTAATTTCCACTAGCCTTTCTTGAGGGTCAGTCAGCAACTGTAAATAGTTTCTTTTACATTCATCTTTCAGCAATACAATCAGTTATTGGGACAATTCATTTTTATTTCTGTCTTCTGCAGATTTCAAGGGCATCTTTAATGCCTGAATCAACCCACATTGCTAAGCCAGCTGCCTCGTGGCTTGATGACTTTCTTGTATGGATGTCACCCGAGGCTTTTGGTTGCTGTCGGAAATTTGTAGATGGCAGTTATTGTCCCCCTGATGACCAGGTTGGTGATATACCATGCTTTTCATGTGGATGATTAGTGGGAATGATTGCTGTCTAGATCAATGTTTGGAAATGCTCACTGTTTTTTTCTTTTCTTAGTCGAAGTCCTTTGTTGTTGATTAAAGTTTTTATTAATATGCCCTCTCTCTTTGTCTCTCTCAAGTATCATCAGTATTTATGTATGGTCCAATAGTTTATGGTATCTTGTATTTTTGAAAGGGGGAAAAAAAAAAAAGAAAAAAAAAGCTACAATTCTTAATGATTTTTGAGATGTTCATGTGTTGTATTTCTTAAAGAACCAGCTGGTATGGCGTTCATTTTGATATTGTGAATCCTTGATTTGATGGTTTTGAATGTTTTCAAATGTAAAATGACCTTTGTCTGTCGTTACTCGAGTATGATGCATCATCCGATAACTGACTTGGCCATTTTCTTTCTTTAGCCTCCTTGTTGTTCACCTGATGAAGATTCTTGCGACTTGGATGGCGTTTGCAAGGATTGTACAACTGTAAGATCCCATTGCTTTATGTATTTGAAAACACATCCCAGTGTACTTCTGTCAGTACTTTGTACTTTGTAGGGCTGAATGTACTTATGGGTAGGCTATTGTAGAAATATAATGTAAAGAGAAATAGAGAATTGTATTATTGATTGATTGTATGTTATATATTGTTATGTATTACAACTCCTATATATAGAAGAGAAGGTGGTAGTAGGTGTAGTGTAGTAGAGGTGGGAGGTGGAGTGGGTGGTGGAGTAGGTGAAGTGGAGTGTGTAGTGGAGTAGGTGAAGTGGAGTAGGTTTAGGTACATTTTAACAGCTATCTTGCAATTAATTTACAACTTACGACTTATGAAATGCAAAAGGAGTTATCTAAAACTAACATTGTGCAATTGTTCCAGTGCTTCCTTCACTCGGATCTGGATAATGGTCGTCCATCTACAGCTCAGTTCAAGGAGAAGCTGCCATGGTTCCTCAATGCACTGCCCTCTGCTGACTGTGCAAAGGGTGGCCATGGGGCTTACACAAGAAGTGTGGATCTGAATGGTCTGTTCTGCTGCTTACACATATATATCTTGTCATAACATAATCAATCCAAAGAAATGTACTATGATGTAGTGCTTAAATATGTCAGAACTTCCCTTTGGCTTGTATCATCAAATGAGTTATTAACAGCTTTTACCCTGTTGTCAGGTTACGAGAGTGGTGTTATACGAGCCTCTGAGTTTCGTACTTACCACACACCACTAAGGAAACAGGTACAGAAGGATCTTTTTAGTGGATTGATACTTCTGCTAATTTGCTTAACTTCACTCAGAGAATATTCCTCCTGATCTGCTTGTCCTTTTGTACAGGATGATTTTGTTAATTCAATGCGTGCTGCACGAGAGTTTAGCTCAAGGGTTTCTGATTCTTTGAAGGTTCACAAATTTGACTTACAGTTTTGTCCTGGAATATTTTTTAGCTGTTATAGTTGGATATGAATATGGTTTGGGGTATTGGCTTTCAGTGAAAGGACTTATTTGACAAGCGTATAAAGTTATGGGTGTTCTTTTCCTCTATGAGATATAGACCATCATCTGCAATTATATGTCTACAGAACATAGAAAATGACAAATCTACACTTGCCAAAGATGTTAATTTGTTTGTTGGACTGTATTGGTTTTTCATATCTGAAGTGCTTCTCATTTCTTTGGTTTTTCTCTTCCCTTGTGTGCAGTCTATCCTTAGTATCGAAAGTATTCTCAGCAAATTATTTGAGACTTTCAATCAATACCTTGACTATGATTAATCTATAACCAAGTTTCTGGAAATACATGTCAAACAAGATTCTAGACTAGGTGTTTGCTCATGTTATTTATTCGGTTGTGGTTAAAGCTTCATCAATTATACACTGCATAGAGACAATTTGTATTATTCTCTTGCAAGTCAGGTTTTGATTGAGATCCATTCTTGAGACAGTAACCAATAAATGTCATAACTCACGTAAGACATTTTTTGAAGAATAATTCCGGCTCACTTATGATGCAACATTAATTGCATTTTCCTGGTCAATTAGTTATGCAAGTGGGCTAATATTCCAAAATGTAACAAAATAAGTTGTTTGTAGGAAATCCTAGTAACTTCTAATAAAATGTGTAATTTATGAACAATTTCTCTTGTTCATCTCTTGTTGCATTGGCAATTTCGCAGTCTAATAATTTGAGCTCTTCTTATCTTCTGAAATCAATGTTCTGTTATTTCATTCTTGTTTGGAGTTATCTGCAATGCCAGTACTTTATTTTTCTTTTTATGCTTTAAGGCTCACAATGGTGATGAATTCTTTCCATTTTTATTCAATATATTCACAGAAGTTATTTGGAAGTATACCCTTGCACCATGCATTTGGTTGACCCATTCATGGCCTAATCATTTAGATAATTCTTTATTGCATTTCTATTCATGGCCTAGTTGGTTAGATATTCTTTATGGTATTATTGACACATTCAATTTAAGTGGTAGTGCCAAGGAGAAGAGTAAATAAACAGTCAACCCTCAAGATTATAGTAATTGGTTTTTCAAATGACTTGGGGCTGAGGCTCTATGCATGGGGCAATTTCTGTGTCTAAACAATATTTCTTTTTCTGGTGCGTGGCTTATGCTCACTTTATTGAAGCTCAGTGAGGCCCCTTCCAAACCTTTATCCCCCCAAAAAATTGTCTTTTGCTTTGAGTCTACTCCCTTGAACTCTTATCAATAGTTTTTTCTTCTTTTTTACTTGGGATATGGAATCTGACATAGGCAGACAGTATGTTCAGGTCTTTTACATCTTATTCTAAGCCTATGCTCTTGTCATGAGGTTGTGTCTTTAATGCATTGACTGTACTTACCTGATGCAGATCGAGATCTTTCCGTATTCGGTGTTCTATATTTTCTTTGAACAATATCTGGATATATGGGAGACAGCTGTGATCAACATTGCTATAGCACTTGGTTGGTATTCAAACTCTTACACTATAGTGATGTATATTTGCAGAGCCCTTTCACTCCATGTGACAAAGATTGGAGTTTCCAATTATGTGATGTTATTGTCCCGGTGGTTGCTAGTAAAAACAACACTCAATTAGTACACAATAATGTGTGTTTGGGAGGGGAAAGATTGAGTACACACCTAACCTTTGACATAATACACAAAGTGGTGACCCTAAGACTTGAACCCATAACCTCAAGGTTATTAGGCCAAGTCTTAACCATTGAACTGCTATCTCTGCTTGAATTGTTGTTTCATGCTGCTTTCAAGTTGTTCTGTATGATATGATCAAGTCATCTTTGTGGTGGTTAGAAGCCTCCATTAGTAAAGGCAGTTTCTTCTGTGAAACATAATTGAAAATTTTGTTTGTTTGTTTGTATGCAAGTCTTAGGACTTAGAATGTGTAACTAGTATTCTGATTGAAGGTGCTATTTTTTGCCAGGATTTTCTGTTCATTTATCTAATTCCAGATGTTAGAGATACACATGTATTTGATTACCTTCTAATTGTGACTAACATCATTTAACATATATTATGTATTTGTATTGTTTCATGCCATTGGATGCATTATTTTGAGCAATTATTGACTATCTAATTTCTTGATTTGACAGGTGCTGTATTTCTTGTTTGCCTAGTTATCACCTCCAGGTTTGCTTTCTCTTCTAGCCTTTAGTTCAGTGTTAAGCCATATTTCTGCCTTCATGAGAGAAAAAAAATTTAATGGGTGTGTTTGGTTTGTGTTTGGAGAGTAGTTTTTGAGATAAAAAGTACGAAAACTTGTTTGGTTTGCCTTTTTTCAGAAATAGTTTTCGAAAATTGTTTTTGAGAGAGAGTTTTAAAAAAAGTGATTGATTTGATGTGTATGTGAGAGAGAATGATTTTGTGAAGTAGGTAACCAAACAAAATTTTGAGATTTTTTTTAGAAAAATTTGTTTGGTTTGATTACTCTTGAAAATTTGTTTGTAGAGAATTTTTCCCAAAAAATTTTCTGAAAAACAAACCAAACAAGGCCGTTGAATTTAATGATCTTTACTTCTATTATTTTTCCTTGCCTATTAAATGCAGTTTATGGAGTTCAGCTATCATTGTTCTTGTCCTGGCCATGATTGTTGTGGATCTTTTGGTAAATCTTCTGCCTTGACAAAACATATATTGTGCTTCTTCTAAAACATTTATAACATTCTTGTTATGTATTTAGTTCATATTAATTGTTCATCGTTTAGTATGACTTATGTTAGAATTTACCATCACCTACCACCACTACCACCTCACCTACTCCACTAAACCTAACCCACTACACCACTATCACCATCCACTACACACCATCCACTACACCTACATCTATATAAGGAACCATTTGTAATAGACAGAAAATAACATCAATATATCAATCAATAATACAATTCTCTATTTCTCTTTATACATTAAATGATTTTTACATGGTATCAGAGCGAGGTTGAAAAACTTAGTATTCCGCTTCACCGGCGGCGGCAAGCCTCGCCTTGGCCGCCCGCCGGACCTCTACACACACACACCCACTGTCTAACGTTTAATCGGAGATTCTTGATTCGAAAACTGAGAAGTCCGATCCGATCGCTGCTTTTCCCTGCGAAATTCCCCAATCGTCGCTCTCTTTCCTTCCCTGTGGACGCTTGGAATTGACTTCATTGACGAGGTGTTGTGAAGCTTTTGGAGGAGCGATGAGTCAGGTTTTGCGAAGGATATGAGCGCCAGTACTGCGAGCTTTCTGCCAATTTATCCAGAAATGTAACTCTGGTGGTCTTCTTCCTGATGAAGAGGAAAAGATGCAAAAGATTTCTGAATAAAAACTGGAGTGGGATGAAGCTGATGTTTTGATAGAAAAATGGATCTTGAAGGCAAGAAGTTTGCAGCCAAGTTGAAGGCTGTCCTGCTTGGCCAAGCTAAAGGGAATACAAGGGCTTGATCCTGATCTAAATAAGGTTAAAGGAAGTAAGAAAAATCTCATCAAATGATTGCTAATCAGCGTCCGTGAAGAGTTGTTGAAGTCTGGAATTGCAGATGCGCATGTGATTTCTGTGGATCAAAGGAAAGATTGGCAATGTCAACGAGAGATAAATCAGTCAAGCGACAGGATCAAGGAGAGTAGAAGAAACTACGCTGGAGACAGAAGAGCTTGGTGTCTCCATCCTTCAAGATTTGCATAATCAACGTTGAAACTCTCCTGCATTCCCATAAGAAGCTTCATGGGATTTGACGATGCCAGGGAGAAACCTTTTTTGCCGGAATTTGTCGAGGAAGAAGACTCGGAAGTCTAGGGTTTGAGGTTGGCCTTCTTCTTCTTTGATGGAATCTCAGGCGTTTGTAAAGAGCAGTGCAAGTGAAGGACTCCTCTTAGGAAACCAATCTGCTGTTGTTATTGGTGTTGAAGCAGAGACTTAGGCCGTTGTATCTTCGCAATGGACCTCTGAATAGTAAAGCAATGGTGAGGCTACTGTGGCTATCACTCTAGTGCCCCCTTGGTCTTGGACTCTCTCTCTCTCTCTCCTATCATACACAGATAAACACATTGCTTTTACTTCTTTTTTAAATACCCACTCATTCATTCTTCTCTTCTCTCTCTCTCTCTCCCGAGTGTGATCTTGGTGCTAAACAGTGTTGTGCAACTTGGAGCTGTTCAACACCTCTTTACAGGCTGTTCATGATGTGGGTTGGAAAAGGTAAAAGCTATATTAACCTTTATATATAGTTATATATATATTTTTGGTTTGATTTCTGCTTTGCCAAATTGGCCAGCTTAGTTTGGGACGTTGAAAATCTATTAGAAAAATTCGTTATCCCATGACCCCAGACGCATTATTCTGGCTCTTCTACTCTCACCTTCTCCTTCTCTCCACTTTATTCACGGTGGGTTTGTCCCTCTCTCTCCTCTTGTTTGATTTCAAAATCAATTATTTTTTTATTTTATTTTTCCCAAATTACCTTTTAATTTTTTTTTAAATTTTTTACTTTTCCCCCCACTTTTTTTCTTTTTCCCCAATTAAATTTATTATTTTTCTATTTTTCCCCTTTTTCTTTTTTTCTTTTTTTTTTTCCTTTGGGGGTG